AAAGAAAGAAGAGTAAGAAAAAAGAACATGCCTTACTAACTCCTGAGACATACCAACAGCCACATTATGGAGACAACGTGGAAGTTCCCAGGAGGAGGGGTAGAGCAGATGGCTCAGACACAGACCTCGATAGACATAAGTGGAGAGAAGATGATTGCTTAATAAGTTGATGTTAGAAAAAGTAGCGCTTGCTATGGAGGAAAAATAAAATGAGACTTCTGTCTAATACCGTATACAATGTAAAAAAAGATTTTCAAGTGTAATAGAATATATTTGGGGTTTTGATCAGTACATGTTTAAAGTACATAGTGATCACAGTCATTGTGGGGAATTGGTACATGCGCATAGCACATTCCAATTGGTAACCTAGTGGGAGGCTTGTATTAACAAAATTCGAAAGTATCTACGAATTAAGGGCTTTTGATTTATAAAGGAGCACCACAGGCCCAGTTTCTAGACAGGTGACAGACCAAGGGAAGGTATTTTCAATGTCTAAAATATTGTTCATTATCTAGAATATACAAAGATGACTTGCAAACCAATAAGAAAAATGTAGTCTTTCCAATTGGAAACAAGGACAGACAATTTACAAAAGAGGACTCTAAAGATTATCAAGAGGTGCTCAAATCCATTAGTAATCAGAAAAATGTAAATTAAAACAACAACGAGACATCACTGTCACATTGGGGGAAATGGTAAGCATGGGTGAGGGTGCGGCCACAGGGATCTTCACACTCTGCAGGTGGAGGTGGAGGTGGAGGTGGAGGTGGAGGTGGGTGGTGCTGGGTAAAGTTAGGTGTATGTAGTTGATTGTATGCAGGCAGTGATCCCAGGGCCTGGTGTACAGCCCAGAGAAATGTTACATAGGTGTGAAGGGCAAACGCACAAGAATGTTCACTGTGTTTCTGGAGAGGTGAATTGGAGACAAGTTGGGCTCCCTCCCTGGTACAGTGAGCAGGTGAAATATATAGGGTGACCAACTCGTCCTGGTTTGTCCGGACTGTCTCAGTTTTAGTCCTGAAAGTCTGTATCCTGGGAACTCTCAAAGTCCCAGGCAAACGAGCATGGTTGGTCGCCCTACTATGCGTTGGAGGTGTCCCATGGAATATTGGGCAACACTGGCAGAACTTGGTACGCAGTGAAAAAGGATGAAAGAAAATTAACTACTGCCTATATCATCATGTTAGTAGACATATGCCTACAAGACAGCAGCACAAATCTTGCAAGAATTCAAAGGAAACCAAAAGACATGCGTGCATGATATACATTAGAATGCTATGCAGTATATGGAGGGAAGAGTGGGGCCAAAAGAGAACATACACAGACCTAATAAGAGTGGGCCGCACACAACGTACCATCAACGGAGGCAAATGATTTGTGTTCACCCATGGCTGACCACTCACGTTCATGCCTACTGCCCTGGGGGTCTTTTCTCCAGAGGGACCAAACAGACCCAGACTTGGCAGCAGGCTGGAGTTGGGCCTGGCCTGTTGCTCTGTGAGTCATTTTTGTTGCCTGCGCCTCTCTGGGGCAGAGGCTCCCCAGAGGTCCCCGGGTGGCAGCCCCTCCACATCCCCCTAAGGAGCAAGGGAGGGAGCAAAGGAGAGATACCAGGATGTCCAGGAAGCAAAGGAGAGATACCAGGATGTCCAAGCAAACCTACCACTCAGGACTCAGGGCCAGTGCACCCCTAGAGAGCAGGGAGGGTGCTTGTTCCCCAGGCTCAGTGCTGCAGGGGAGGCCTGAAAGCCTCGGGCATCCTACCTCGTCAAAGTCGGCCACATCCTCACAGTTCTCCAGGACCCGGGAGTAGAAGGACTGCCCTGTGTGGGTGATAGAGGAGACCTAGAATCAGACCTCAACCGGGGAGTTGTTTAAGGAAACATTTACCATGAACCATGGACCCCATGGCTATACCACTCTCTCCAGGATGAGATGCATCCCCACATACCCTCTCTCTTCTGATTCTCTCAGTATCCCTTGTGGGAGGCAGGTCAAAGGCCATTGCCTCCATTTCATGAATGGATACTAAGACCCAGGAAAGCTCAGACTGGACAGAGCTGACGTGTCTGGGAGAGACCCCAGGGCCTGCTGTTCCTCACCTTGCCACTCCCCCAGAGCCTCTCCTGGTCTTCTGCAGCCCCCAGCTCTGCCGGCTGTCCTGGGCCCTGCAGCCCTGGCAGAAACCTGGCCAGAAGATGGCATGCTCCCTGCCTTCTGATGGCAGCTCACAGAACCTGGCCCCTTCTGTTGCCAGGCCCACAGCCACCCGGGAGCTCCTTCCCAAACAAAGCCCAGACAACCAGTCCAATCCGAGACAGCTCCCTGGCCCTGCTGCCTGCCCTGCCTCCATCCCCACCTCCCCTCCCATTTCTGTGCACCACTACAGAGAAGGCTCTCAGGTGGCTTCTCCCGCGCTCCCTAGCTGGCCCCCTGTTCCCCAACGACACAAGTAATACAGAGCATGGGATGGATGCGTGTGTCCCAGACCCCCTGCCCATCCCCATGTCCATATACCTACCACCTGATGGGCAGGTTGGCGGGTAGAAGTAAAGCCACACTCTTTCCTGGCCAAACAGGTCAGAACTGGCCCACGGTGCTGAAGGAAACTGACCAGGAGAGTGGGTGCACCTGGCCTCATCCTGAGGCCTTGGTATGGAGGGATGGACAAAATGCACAGGATCTTACTCTCAGGGGCCAAGAAGGGGAAGTCGAGGAATCAGAGCAGGGCCTAGTTCAATATTATACAGTATATATATATAAGGATAACAAGTTTGCGTGAAATACAGAAACGGTACAGGCAAAGGAGGAAAATACTGTTTTGGGAGTCGGGTAGAATCACATGAGAAGGAGTTGTAATAACTCTAAGGAGAAAACCAGGGATAGAATAGGTTAAAAATTCTTTGAAATTTATTTACTATCCTCTGTCAGGTCCTCATAAGGTAAGGCAGATGTATGACAGAATCATTTTTTAGGAGCCTAAAGCCCAGTCACATGTATAAGCAAGGATCGCCTACCATTGGAGGTGATCATCCTTGGGGAGGGGACAGAAGCCTGTGCAGCAACATACTTCAATTTTTTACTTATATCACATGTGAATTTTTTTAATGATCATGCTTTGCTTTTGTAATCAGAAGAAAAACACTTTTAAATTCCCAGCAACCTAAACCAATGGCCCATTTCACTGAAGCACTGACCATCTCCAGGCTGAACCTGGTCCCACCCAGGGTCAGGGTCAGTTATCACTGACCGGGCAGGGCCTGGGGCCAGAGAGGACTTGCATGGGCGCAGCACGCAGTGTCCGCCTCCCAACAAAAGCCCTGGGACACTGGCTTGACCGGGACTAGGCAGAGCAGGGGTTGGAGATGAGCCCTTCGGACTTTCCTTGCGATGGGGTCAGCAAAGCTTAGTCCTCTGGGAAGGACCCTGCTCCTCTGAACTTTGCAGTCCCATCTGACAATGAGCTCTCCAGGGCCCCAGGGGCTTTTATGACCTAGAACTGGTCTAACGTCAATACAGAACTGGCTCCTGACCAGGAAGGTAGGGGTTTGATGTTTAAGTCCTACATGTTTAAATACTAGCAGTGTGTCTACCCAAATAGAGGAAGGAGTGTGTGTGTGTGTGTGTGTGTGTGTGTCCACGTGCGCACGCATGCTCATGCACGTGCACATGCACATGCCTGCTTAGGGGCGCATACGTGGGGAAGAATCAAATCTGAGATAATTGAGGAAGAAGCTATAAAGCAGAAGCCATATACATAAGATACGAACCAACCAAGGTGAGAAAGAAAGAATCTTTAGCACTAGCAGGGGAGAAAGCAAAACAAAAGAGAAAAGAAAAATCTCAACAATGTAGCCCAAGGCAGCTAGTGGGGGAGAAAGAACCATGAGAGATGACGCCTGAGCTTTGAGCCTCTGTTAATTTTTCCCATAGGTGGCACATGCAGCACAAACTGAGAATCAGGTAAATGTGGTAGTGCATGGTCTTCCCAAATGACCAGTCATGCTGAATAATCAAAGGATTTTTCATGCACAGAGTATTAATGAGGCTCGGATATGGCTGTGCTCCAGGATCTCCAGGAGTGAAACACTGGGCCCTCTAAGATCGTGGCAGGTTCAAGTATGCAGGAAGTACACAGGGCATATGTCTTATAGCCTTGTTAGAGACGAAATAAAATTCTGTGGAATTAGCCATACGACATCTGTTCCAAGTTACCAGGAGGGATTACTAACCTGCCTTGTTTCAAGTTCATTTCCACTTAACATCTACCCCACTCAACACTAGCACAGCACTCTGCTGAGCTTCGGGGGCCTCCGGTGATGCTGTGCAGAATTTGCACGTCAGGGCTCTGTTTGGAACTATGCTAAAACCTCACTGATTTAGGCCCTGGGGATGCAGACGTGGTGAATGCTCTCAAAAAGGACGAGTTTAAATTTGCCCGTTGATGTGCATGTCCCTGTGCATGTGTGCATGTGTGTGTGTGTGAGTGTGTGTGTGCACTTGTGCTGAAACAAATCAATCATACAGAAGCAGTGGAAAGGGCAACTTATTAAGAAAACAATCAATCCTTAAGCACTTTTGAAGAATCACCTTTTAGGAGCAAATGGACAAGCAGCGGCAGGAACGTTCAAGTGGCCCTTTCATCTCACCTGGAACTGAACCAAGGGAACTCCAACATCCACTCCAAGTTACCAGTAAGGATTACTGACTCCTTCTCATTTCAAGTTCATTTCCACTTAACATCTACCCTACTCAATGTCAGTCCTATTGACTTTTCAGTTTCATTTTAAATGGCTTTCAGACAAAACCATTAAAAATTCCAGTATCTAATCACCTTTCATGCTACAGGGAAGGCAGAGAGTAAAGCTTGAAAGAAAATAGCCTCTTCCATGCACGGAGAGCCTTTTGTGGATCAGGAGAAGAGGTTAGATGGAAAATTGAACAGCATCCTTCCCTTTGAGGTGGCTACTCTGGATAGCTGAGCTTTTTCATTTGAAATAATCTCCTCCCTTCGCCAAAAAATGGGTGTGCATTATAGATCTGTGGTCCGAGAGTAATAAATGCCGTGACATCAGATATACCTGTCCCCAGTTGGAGGGGTGTAGAAACCCAAAGTTTAACAAGGAACTTTTATGTCGCTTGCCATTTAAAACTGTCCACATTGCAGCTAGTACCTGAGAAGCAGGTGAGCTCAGAACTTGTTTCTTATACAAAATGGCAAGCTAACTCTTCATGTGACGTGACTTCAGCGTGCAAAAGACTCTACCTGCGCAAAACAGCTCCCTCTTCCAGTTTACCCTGCTAGAGCCAGACCTTTGGGCAGACAGAGAGGGCCCAGCTGGGTCTCTGTCAGCCCTGATGATTGGCCTTTGGGGAAGGGAGCTGCACAAAGATCACTGGAGTCAGGGTATTGCCTTTAAGAGCTTATTACAGCCCTGAAGGGGGCGTGTTTAGACTTGGACAAGGTGCTTAAGTGAGGCAGGACCTGGCTGTCAGCATGTAAACAGAATAAAGTGAGAACAGCCAGGGCAGGTATAGGGGTGATGTAGGTGTGGACACTGGAAGAGCAGGTGGGCTCTGGACATCGGAGGGGCTGGGGAACAGGGGGATAGGAGAGAACTCCAGGCAGACAGGAGTCCGTACAAATGTTCAAAAACACAGGGCACAGCATAGAGCCCTGGTGCAAGGGGTCCCCGAATACTGCACCCTGATGGAGAAAGGAGAAATGAAAGAAGTCTGTTCCAGACAGTGGCCACTGAAGGGAGACCTGAGCTGGCCTGGGGTAGTGGAGGTGGGCCATTCACAGGGGCAGGGGAAGGTCTGAGGACAAAATCCAGCAACCTCAAGGTTTTGCCAGGACCCTGTGTGTGCTGTCATTGTTGTTTCCTTGTCCTGTTTAAAATCTTCAAACCCTCCTTGTGTGCATGACCCAGGAGGGCCTGTAAAGCAAGCACTCTTCAAGGCCACTGTGACTTCCTGTGGTGCTGTATGGGTCCTGGATCCTGGTGACGCTGTCCTCCTCCACTGAGGCTCCCTGGGTGGGGTTGGAGTGTGCTGGGTTTTCATTCTTCTTTCTTCAGATCAGCCTACTCCTGTTGAGGGCCAGGTACCCCCACAGAGAAGCATGGAGCAGAGTGTAGCCGTCCCTGCGGGCAGGAAAAGAGCCAGGCCAGCCAGGAGCTGCTACCCTAGAGCTGACTTCCCAGCTCCTAGGGGTCTCGGACTCATCATCTGTCACCTGGGAATAATCATCCTCAGCCAGCACATGTCTTGGGACCCTTGTGACAATCATCAAGAGGCTATTTTTACATCACGTCCCTTAGGACCACAGGGGCACAGTATATATGTTATGGCTTCCAGGCTGACATGCCTGAGCTCACATCCTACTGGCGGGCTGTGCATCTTTGAAGATATTTAACCTCTCTTTGCCCTAGTCCTCCATCCACAAGAGGGCAGAAATGATAGGGCTTAGAACAGCATCTATGCAGAGGAAACAGCTATTATCATTCTACAAGAGTCCCACCTTTTGTTCAGGTTTCAGCTCTTATATTATGTGCTAAATATAAAAATGGTCTTCTGTATTATGAATCACATTGATAGCATATTTTTAATAGCATATATTCAGAAACAAATTTTTCTTCATATTCTGCAATATTTTTCGAGTTTTAGGCATTTTAGGTGTGATTATCTTTTTTCAACAAGGTAAAATTCACATTCACAGATCTTCAGGGTATATTTTAATGAGTTTCAATAAATGCATATACTCAGGTAATCACCACACAGTCATGATATAGCACATTTCCTTTTCCTCAGGACAAGCCCT